GGGGGGTGGTTGAGAGGGGGGGGGGGTGGTCCCTGGAGTGACACCACCAAATTACCCCCTCCACGGGACCCTAGCCATTTGAAATTATTTATACCCCCCCCCCCCCCAAAGAAAAAAACGGATAGTTCCCTCACACACCTTGTATTTGTGTTGTCTATTACCCAAAATGAGGTGTCCGCAATTAAAAGCCACTTGTCAAGATTCTCCAGATTCTCACTTTCGTTGAACAATGTGAAGAAATGCATCGGTGTGCTAGGCTGCTAGACATCAGCACCAATGGTCGACCAAACGGGTAAAATGGACTCGGACTAACTGTGTGATCCCGGGTCACAGCACGTTCGCCTTGTACCAAAAACTTCACATGGCATCCTACCTGATTTTCATTTCAAGGCCAGGGAAACCTCCGCCTCACCCCTTCCCAGCACTCCACCTTACACACACCTCTGCCCGCTGCTGTTCCTCAGGCTACCTCTGCCCGCTGCTGTTCCTCGGGCTACCTCTGCCCGCTGCTGTTCCTCAGGCTGTGCGATTGCAATGCTTCATATAATCGGTCGCTCGAATTTAACCAAATCTTTCGTAGGGGGGGGTATTTAACACCACCCCACCCCCACACCCCGCGCCGACTAATCCCCCCTCCCCTGACTAGCACCTCACCTCCACCTCTCATGTAATAATCAGGTTGACCCAAATTTACAGCGAGTCTACACCACCACAACCGCCAACCCACTTACCTCGGTCGTTTTATTGCCATGGTGTGGGGGATGGGGTTGAGGGGGGGGGGGTACTGCCAATCAAAGATAGTATGGACTGACCAACAGTGGAATGTCAGCCGGGCCATGGAGAAGGTTACAGGGCCGCACTGCGATACAGATCAGCGACTCTTAACTTGGTGCTGGTTGGCCATACATGGCGCCCGTCATTCATGGGGCTTCACAACTTCGGTCAATTAAGTATTTTCACCCTTGCCAATTAATGGCCCCAAAACGATTGGACGATCATAATTGTAGTAAAATTTATATTGTCCCTACCTATTAAAAAAAAAAACTCTATAGTTTCTCTCTTTATCTTTGAGCAGTGCCATATTATAAAAAATGCGAGAACCACTGTGGCAATGATTTTGTGGCGTTTATAAAATTTATTTACGATGAAATACGTTGTCATAGCACTTCTTCCAAATGGATCGGGCCAGCGGCGTAACTAGGGTTAGTGCCACCCGGGGCAAGTCAATATCCTCCCCCCTCCCACTTATTCCACACACACACAAAAACAACAACCTCTTCCGTTGACCCACATGTCACACGTCCAAAAAAAAAGTGTCAAAGGGGGGGGGAGGGTAGACCGCCCCCCTCCTTCTTTGCCCCTGGTTCGGGCATTTGACTTACACAACTAAGAGCACTTCCACTACTAGAACAGTGCCAGGTACTATTGAAGTCGAGAACACACTCCGCATGCTACGTTCAAATTTTGCTTAAGAGTAAAGATGCGTCTCTCTACTTGGGACATATTCTTTGAGCCACGAACATTTTGAAAAATGCATTTTACTACCTGTACAATAGATAGAGCAGGGTTTTTTTTTTTGTTTTTTTTTATTTTATTTGTTTTTTTTAAACAGGAAGGGGGCTACGGAGGTGCAAACTTATCAAGTGGGCTACAAGCAAATATAAGGTTGAGAAATGCTGCAATCGAGCATAATTTCAAGAGTTACTATAAAGAGTACTCAAGTTCAAGTTAACTGGTCTAAGATAGTGAAAGGGTGATAAGGGGAGTGACTGCCATCAGGTTAGCTCAATATGTGAAATTACTAAAACAAAGTAAGGTTAAATCTGCCAAAGGGAACGCCACAATCGTTGCGTTCTATTTTCAGGTTCAACCTTACTTTGTTTGAATAATTTCATACTAAGATAGCGAATAGTGACGTCCAGCCCAGCCTCGGCCAACTGAACGCCTGGTAAACACGCGGCGTACAACGGACTCAGCAGCGGTAGAGCTCAAGAGTTTCGTACGACTTATTTTTAGGATAGCAGCAGACGCTTTGGAATCACCAAAGGTCCATGAATTATTAAATAATTTAGTAAGATATACGCAATTATGTACCATTCTTTAAATTATAAGCCAAGTAAATATTTTTTTTTTTATTTTTAAATTAGCTTCCATTTAAAAGAAATAATGCACTTGATTTGTATCTTTAAAATTTACAAACGAACTCAATATTAAATTGAAATCATTTAATATTCTTTGAAGGCAATCAGATCAATAATTTTTTTTTTCTTCAAAAACGCATCCAGTGTTACACATTTTAACTGTGTTCGCAACGCAAAGTAAAAAAAACAACAACTGTGTTTACCGCCTCACGTCGTAGCAAACCAATCAGATGAGTCTTAAAAACATGGTCATTACCAAACGGATAAACTCTGAAGAAAGTTACTAGTAAACCCATTTCCAGAAAACGCCATATAATTCTCCCCCTTCTCTCTCACACCCTCCACCCCCCCCCCCCCCCCCCCCCCCCCCCCCCCCCCCCCCCCCCCCCCCCCCCCCTCCCCCCCCCCCCCCCGCCCAAGTTCCCCCTGCTCTTTCAGCCATTAGTTTTTACGAGCCTCCCTCCACGCAGACCGGAGCCGAAGACCCCGCGCCACGCGACGGGCCATCAACTCCGAACCATCAACCAGCTCGCTCCTCCCTCGCCAGCGTGTGTACGAAGTCCCGTATAAATAGGGCGGAGAGCACATGGGACTTCACGTTTCTCAACTGTACTGAACGTTAGTTTAAGAGCACTATTATTTGGAGAGAAAAAAAAAAAGAAAAAAAAAAGAAAACAAGAGCAAAACTTTTATAACCAACGAATTTTGACTTGTGAAATTTTCGCACATTTGGATTACATTTGTTCTTCTGAACCTGAGTGACTCTTGGTGTTGTGTTTTTGTGGACTTTTTCATTCAACACTTTCAATCCGAAAGTGGCGTTTACAAAAAAAAAAATTCCAGTCTGCTGGCAGTGTAACCAACTCGTCTGCTATGTTACGTGCTGGACGAGCCAGTCAGTTTTCTGACTCAAACATTTTACTAAGAGTATGTTAAGACTATGTTGAGCAAATTTTTTGTTGCACTTTGTCCTATCCGTAAGCCTGAAGTGACGAAATTCTAACTCTAAAAAAAAAAAAAATTAAAAATTTATTTGCTAAAAAAAAAATGGATTACGGCAGCGATGCGGACCCCATGATATCATCAGTGGTCATATTTCAGGACTATCATAACATACAACAGTCACAGCAGGTCAGTTCCTTCGGGATGCTTGATTTCGACCCGTACTCACGGCCCACAATGCTCGACGAGCCCCCCAACAACATAGACATGAGCCTCGACAGCCCGGCGTCCATTGAGACGTATCACTCCGACATTGAGCTCGGCTTCCAAGACAATCAGTCCGTGGCGTCACCTGCCGAGCAGGACATGAGTGAGTCATCCATGACGAGCATGGCGTCGACGCCGCAGAAATGCTCCCTCATCGACGACGACATCTTCGAGCAGGACCGCCGGCTCGTCAACATGCGGTTCGCCCCCCACGATGTCTTCCCCGTGGACAATACGTGGACGCTTGAGCAAAAAATCGACCGCTTGCTGGACCTGAGCCCCTGCGACAAATACTCAAGGGAGGAGCTTCTCAATATAGACTCTGTCGAGAACCCTGAACACAAGGTGGACATGTTGATCAACCTAGTGGCCAAGATCCACGTCAATTTCCGATGGAATTATGTCAAACCGGAAGAGCTCTGCAAAGGGTACACGGTCGTTACCAACTGCAAAAAGGAGAAAAAGAAAGACTCTGAGGGTCAGACGACCCCCAAGAGACCGATGAACGCTTTCATGATATGGTCAATGAAGTGCCGGACCCTCATTTCCCACATCTCCCCTCAACTCCACAACGCCATCATCAGCACCAAACTCGGGGCCGCCTGGAGAAAGTTCGACGAAGACGAGAAAGCTTACTATGAGCGTGAGAAGGAGACCCTCACAAGTTTCCATCGCTACGAGTTCCCCGATTACAAATACAAGCCCCGGAAGAAGCCGAAGAAAACCGAAGAGAAGCCTTCCCCGGCTCCGAAGCCAAAGAGCAATAAAAGGAAGAAGGTTGAGCCAGTGCAGCCGCCGCCTCTGAGGGGCATCAACATCGCTGACGCTCGCCAAAGCCTTGACCCTCATCTCAAAGAACGCCTGCAGGTGAAGATGCAGGTGAAGATCGACCCCGACCTGAAGAAAGAAATCGGAAAGCGCGTCACGGGAATCGATCTGACGGATTTATCGTCATACCACTCGGAACTGGGATCCCCACCCTTCGCCAAAATGCAGCGGCTGGTTGGAGGGGACAGCTCCACCACCGTGCACCTCATCATCGACAACAAGCCGTCCTCCGTGTTCGACACGCCGGAGAACTCCCCCCACACGCCCATCACCCCCGTCACGCCTACCGAGCACGTCATGAGCTACGGCAACATGAACAATCGTAACGAGTCGTGTTTCAACTTCGACGACAAGTCGAACATCGACATGTGCTACCAGATGGAGAACAACAACAACAACATCCTGCACTCCTCCATGATCCCCGACGGCGTTAAGTCCGAGCACACGCGATGGGACCTCAACATCAAAACCGAGCCCCAGGACTATACCTTTTACTGCGGCCCGGCCATCAAATCCGAGCCGGGCAGCCACCAGCAGTGCGTGCCGTCGTTGCTGGAGAAGGACATGGACGAGATGCCCCAGCTGCCCGTGCTGTCCTCCGACATCCTGGACGAGTACCTCCTGAAGGGTGAAGGTGGCTCCCTGAGAGACAATTCAAACTTCAACAACGAAGATCTGTTATCGGACTTGATGAATATAGTGGTGAATGGCAGTGACTACCTCCCCGATTTGGCTACATGCGTGCACGAAGGACCAGCCACGGTTTAGAATTAATAAATAAGGGTGACTATATTATATTGCTTTGTGATTTTCGCCTGTTAATATTAATTATCTTGCCCCCTTCCTTTTCTCCAGAAGTAGGCCCAACTTTTTTGTCCGTTTATATATATATATACACACCACACAATATTTAAACACACACCTCTAAAAGTCATGTCATTACAACCACACTACCTCAATTCACGGCTTTTCCTCAATCAACAAAGTTTTTTTTTTTTATAAAGCAAGAATTGAATAAATTGTGTGTGTATGTAATTTAACTGTTTAAGAATCACTCAATTCATTACTCTCATATTTAAAGTACCACATTGCATTTATTTAACAATTGATCTACTCCGTCTCCATTGTATTGCATTGCCTAGTCAGGTCAGTCTCTATATGTGTGCTCTGAATACCCCGAGCTAGTCATTTATTAATCGCGTAGTACGCACATTTCAAATACCAAACACCGCCGTAGTACACACATTTCAAATACCCCCCCAGTACACACATTTCAAATCCACCCCCCCCCCCGTAGTACACACATTTCAAATACCCAATCCCTTGTACTTGTACCAACAAAAATTCCTCCGTTGAAAAAGTGGGGGGTTGGGGGGGGGGAGGAAAAAATCCGTAGAAAACCTTGTGTGACCCGTAGCGCACCTTTTAACACCATCCAAACAACCTCTCACACAAGAAGAGAAACGTGGGGGTGGCCTTCGCCGCACAGCCATGGCCTATATTGTACTATCNAATTTGAACCTCCCCCCCCCCCCCCCCAGTTTGGGCAGAGGAGGGGGGGCAATGCTTCTTAACACCTTAACATCAAGCCCTCCACCACCTTGCATACTTTTCAAACCCCGCCAGTTGTTATCAAAGACTGTAATCGTATTAAAAATCCTCCAACCCTGTCGGTTTTAATAAACAGAAACGGTCCGTCCTTCATCGCCATCTAAAATAAGAATTTAAAAAAACAACAACCCACAAACCGCTCATTCAATTTTACATCTACAAAACTATTTTGATATTATAAATATTTTACCGTCATACCGTGACTCAGGCTTAAAGATAAGAACTGTTGTAATTTAAAAGAATGTATGGTATTATTACTTGACAAGATGTGTTCATTTATGTAAACTGTTATCTATTCAATAACTAATCACCTTTATCATTGTTACAAAACAAATAAGCCAACTTTTTAACGCTATCTAATAAAATGACAATCTTTAATTACCTGAAAGACTTTAGTTGTACGTATTTTAGTGCAACTAAAAAAAACAACAACTCATGTACATACCACAGCAGAGCTTAGCCACCAGTGTTGATTAGTATTTTTTTTTAAATATTACTTTTCGCGTTAATTTCTGTTTGATAGTGTTAACCTTGTTGTATAAAAAAACAAAAAACAAAAAAACTTAAAACAAGCTAATAAAATTGTTATCATCAGATACGTTTCAACATTCCTTTCTCTAAAGCAACTATATAATTAAAAAAACAACAACAATATTTGCTGTAACTATGTTCACAAGTTATCAGGCAGCCGAGCTGTCTTGATTCTTAAAGAGTACATTGTTGTTACACCTTTTTTTTTTTTTTTTGATCAAAAGCGTGTGAAACGTCTTGAAAAATGTGTTGCCTTTATGAAGATCCGAATAACCACAACTCTTGTTGTTGTTGTTTGTTTTTTTTACCCCCCCCCCCCTGTTTCCAAGCTGCAATCAAAGTGGTGAAAGCTGTCGTTGTAATCCGCGACCAATAACGATGCTGTTGTTTTAGCGTCGTCGGTCGTCGTAGTCTTTTTACGTTTAGTTAGTTGACAATGTTCTACGACTTGCATATTAATCACTGTTTTACATATTACATGTTCTATTGTTTTTTTGTTATTTTTTTTTTTAAATTGCAAATGAATTTGTGTTCACTTAACAAACGCCTCCATTGACTGGGTCTATTTTATGCATTCGTGTTCGAGCTCGTATTCGGCTGATGGATCGAGTCAATCATTTGTCAAACTATTTAAACTTCCAAATCCGAAGAAAGAAATGTATATTTTTAAGGTGCATGCCGCATATATTTCTCTACTTTTTAAAGCAAATTTCTATAGAGAATTCTTGGGAAATTTATTAAATCAGTATAGTTGATGAAGTTTTCAATTTATACCAGAAAAAGGATGTCATATTTGGTTGAGCAGAAATCGTGTGATATTATTTAAATATAAGTCTGAAGGCCTGTGTACCTATCTCTTGTGTGATAAACGTAAATTTGGAAAGAAAACAAGCCGAAGGAGTGATTTGAAGAGACAGAGTTTAAGACATATTTAAGCTGTGCTTTACTACGCGGTAGTATTTCTTCTACCGAAATAGTGCAATGTACATTATAGATCAAACAATGGCTAGTGCTGTGGGACGCCTTTTGCCTAGTAATGCAGGAAAAAAAATATGAGAAACTTTGGCTGTGCAGACTTCTCAGTGAAGTATTAGGTTTTAGGCGTCTGTCGGATAAAAGTGAAGGAAAAAAAAAAACACAATTTTTTATTTAATTTATTTTTTACAAAATAAACACATGTGATGCCGCTAGGTTCGTCCCCCCCCCCCCTTTTTTTTTCCCCTTTCTTTTCTTTGTTGAATAAAATGGAGAAATAAAGTGCTTGCACTTGTGTATCTTTGCGATGACAGAAATAATCTCGACCCTTTTAAATATAATAGAATTCCAGCTGTAGCTCTCTTAACAACTCAGTTTACATTTTTTTAAACAAATATGTAGATTGTTTCCTTTAATTTATCGAGCTTGCATAATGAAGTTCTTTCTTTTTTTAAAAATCTCTTCGTTTGGTTAGTTTGTTGCCTAAAATCGTTTTCTTAGTTTGTTGTCCCAAATCGAGCTGGGACTCATTTAGGCTGTGCAAAAAAAAAAAAAAAAAAAAAAAAAAAAAGAAAGATTGGAACAAAAGAATTATCAGAAACTGGATTACAAGACGCTGTACATATTTGAAAATGTCGCTGGACATATTTGAAAATGTCGCTGGATGTCAAGATAATCTTTTTGGATAACCATCTTTTTTTTTCTTTTTTTTTTTTTTTTTTTTTTTTTTTTTTTTTTTTTTTTTTTTTTTTTTTTTTTCCTTCTTTTTTTTTTTTTTTTTTTAAATTTGCATTTTGCTCACCCAAATATTAGCATTACTCAAGTCTCCCTCGGCCGTTTCACGAGCTTAAAGCGGTACATTGTGATTCGTAACCCCAGTCAATAGGCAAACTTATAAATATTGTGTATAAATTTTACTGTAAAATTTATTAATATGCTTTTAATTACTTTTTTGTAATATACTGTAAAAAAAAACATTTTGAAACATTGTTGCTGGTTGTGTAAATTTTATTAAGCAAAAAATTAAGAAATATTCAATAGAATATTTTGTATTATTCCATTTCCTTTCATACAATTCCTTTTGATGCCTCTCATATATCTCTCACCCTAATCATTTTTTTTACTCCACCAATAAATAATACACATTGTTCACTTTAGTTTCACGCACATATTAATAGAAGCAGGCCAAGTCACTGCAATTTTTTTAAGAATAGGATTGAAACAATACAGTATTAATTCAGTGGTAGCTTGATTAAGTAGTTTTTTTTTAAGCTTTTCATGTCTCTTTTTGTTTAATTATATATGCAACTCCTGCCTGTATTTGGACATTTTTTTAATACAAAGGCAGCTATTTTGAAAATATATACATTTCTTATATTTGTAATTTCTTATTATACTATAAGCTGCATAAAAAAAAAATGGTTCCCCTTTTGTTATTGACAAGTGCTGATTCTCTGAAGGCCTTTTTTATGATTATATTTGTAAAATTTGTGGACCAATATAAATTTACAAAGATTATTTTTTTAAATTAATGAAATATACATTAAATGTATGATTGTATTCAATATTTCAGCTTCTGTCAGTTTCTGATTTAATTTTAACCTTTTTGGATCAATTTTTTTACAAAGAACAGTTCTTAGAGCTTACCATGAACAATAATATATAAAAGAAAACAAAGCTGACAAGAAAAATAAAATTTTTAGTTAAAGCAGTGATTTAAGTCTTCAAAATAACTTTTCTGATTGAATTTTTTATTTTGGTAAAGCAAATAAAGAACATATTTTTCAACACAATTTGAATTTAGGTATATATTTTATGATGGTGCCCTTCATTATAATTCAAATAATGTAACTTGTTATTAAAGGACTTGTAAATTGTTAACAAATTCCAATATTGGGAGCAAAAATAATGTATTTTTTCCACATAGCTTTTTTTAAAACATGCTTCTGTGTTACAAACACATATGTTGCTTTAAAAAATTACAACAGATGTGTTACATCAAAAACCACCACATATTCGGACACTTATCAAGTCACGAAAACCGTGGCTTCACTGCCCTTTGGAGTCTTTCCTCTTGATTGATCTTTGTCAATGTATTCATGGACCATTCTCATCAATGAATTGCGCATTTCCTCCTATTTCCTTATTGTTGCCTTACTCATTCTATCCTGTCTCTTTCATTCATGACCTCTTTCAGACTCATCTGTATTCAACATTCTCTCTGTTGCTTAAGATAAAAACCCTCAACCAATTATGCAAAACGAAGACAAAAAGTTTTTTTTATATCAAATCTTTTTAACTGTCAAAATTAAAATTGTGCTTCTTTCCTGAAATGTGAGCTTCAGTTTTTTTTGTTTTTTTTTTCATGTTTTTTTTTTTTTGAATTTCAGTGTAAACATCTGCTCATTTTAAACACATGCTCAAAGTTTAGCTTACTTTCAAAGAAAAATTTTGTGCACATTTTTAAAATATGTTTAAAAAAATCTGTTGTTTTTGGGTTGTTTTATTTTTGTGGGAAGTACGGTAATCAAATTTGTTATAAAGTTTTTTTTATTTTGGATGGAGAATTCAATTCCTGAAAAGTTTTGTTGTGCTTTGACATAAAATTTTCTTGATCAAAATGTAATGAAATGTTTACACTTGTTATTGTT